GCCTCCACACAGGCCCAAGCCACCCTCGTCCCTCGGCTGACCAGTGCAGTTGCTTACTAATCTGCTCCCCAATTCCATCCTTCCCACGCTTTTTTCCCCAGACCACGCCAGAGCAATCTTTTTTAAAAATGGATATCAGATCATATCATTTCCCTTTTTTTTTTGGGGGGGGGTCTTCTTGAGACAGGGTCTCGCTGTGCAGTTCAGGCTGCCTTGAGCTCACTTTGTAGCCCAGGCTGGTTTCAATCTTTTCCCTTTTTAAAAGCTCTATTTCCCCTTGCTTGTCACACTGAACTGCAACTCTTTATGAGGGCCTTGAAGGCCGCTGTCTCAGCCTCCTCTTCCCTCTCTGTACTTGCTCCTATCCCTGTGGAACTTTCTCTCGTCCCCGGCACTGACACTGACATGCCAGGCCCTCTCATCTCCCAGCTTCCGCATGAGCCCCTCTCTACCTGAGGGATGCTCTTTCCCCTCATACGCCTCACCTGGCTCTTTGATTTTTACTTTTTTTTTTTTGGTACCAGGAATCGAACTAAGGACCTTGCGCTTGCCAGGCAGGCGCTTTGCCGCTGAGCTAAATCCCCAGCCCCTTTTTTGGTCTTTTTTGAGACAGGGTCTTGCTCTGCAGTTCAGGCTGGCCTTGAGCTCACTTTGTAGCCCAGGCTGGTCTCGAACTCCCAGCGATCCTCCTGCCTCAGCCTCCGCTGTGGGGCTGTGCACGCCTTCCCAACCCTCCCCCGGGTCTGCCGCTCACCCTCGATGAGATAGATCTTCTTTTGCAGCTCAGTGAACAGGTCTTTGAGCTTCTCGAACGTGTCCAGGATCTTCACAAAGTCCTCCGTGGGCTTTGAGGCAAATTTGTGGAGTTCCTGCTGATTTTGTGGGTTCTTAAAATGCTTTCCAATCTGCGAGGGAGTGAAGAGTGAAGAGCTGGTGCCCCCCGAATCTCAGGCCAGTTTTGTGATCTTCATAGGGTTTGGCCCACAGAGAAAGGAGCAGGGGCTCGGGAGTCGGAGAGGGAAGATGAGACGCTGAGAGCAGCCCTCACCCCAATGATGTAGCGGACGATGTCGCTGGCCCGGTCGACATTGCCAGTGTCAGTGGCCTCCCCATCTGTGATGATGATGAGCACTTTGGTGGCATCTGGCCGGGCCCCCCGATCTTCCCGGAACACCTCTGTCCTGTGTCCAGGAAAGGAAGATGTGAGGCTCTCCTGAAACAAGGGCCTGAGATCTCCCCAGGGCCCCGTTCATTAAACTGCTGCCCTGCTGCTGATGTGATGCCCTTCTCCTGCCTCCCCTGCCCTTGATGCTGCCCTTCCCTCTGGACCTTCTCTAAAATTCTTAGCTCAGCCGGGCGTGGCGACGCACGCCTGTAATCACAGTACTCGGGAGGCTGAGGCAGGAGGACTTCCAAGTGTGTTTCAGACCAGCCTGAGCTACAGACTGAGTTGAAGGCTGGCCTGAACTGTATAACGAGAACCTGTCTCAATAGATAGACAGACAAATAGATAGGTAGACAGACAAGCAAGATGGAATTCTTAGCTCAGACTGACATTCTTAGTCTTCATGCTACATTCTGGGCAGCTCTGAGGGTGGCCCAGAGTTCCTGGGCAGCAAAGGGAGGTTTCGTGAGGGGTGACTCTGGGCTGTGTCTACCTCTGACTCCAAACATACAGCAACCATAATAGTTAGCGAAGTTGGGCCATGTGAGTCTTCAGTGAGAGCGTAAGGTTCCATAGCCAGAGAAACCCGGAAGTCGCTCCTCCACAGTGAGCTCTTGGAGCAAGCATTTCCTCCCCTCCCCTGCCACCTCCAAGCTGCCTACAGCAGTTAGTCTAGTGAATTTACTGACATGTTTGTATCATTTTCCCCAAAACTGTGAAATGCTCATGGAAAGGACCATGTTTCAGTCACTGCTGTATCTCTGGCTCCTGGCAAACCAGGTGCTCAGTGCATGTGAGATAAAGAAAAAAAGGAGAGGGCCAGAGACATAGCTCAGGGGCACAGCGCCTGCCTCCCAAGTGCAAGGTCCTGAGTTTGATTTCTGGTACAGGAGGCTGAGGCGGGAGGATCATCCAGTTTGAGACCAGCCTGGGCTACAAAGTGAGCTCAAGGCCAGCCTGAACTGCAGAGCAAGACCCTGTCTCAAAAAGATAAAAAAAAAA